TCTCTCTCTCTCTCTCTCTCTCTCTCTCTCTCTCTCGGTTAACGTGAAATATCGTATGCGTTCATAGTTCCTACTTGTTACTATCAATTCCACCGAAATTGAAAAAAAGAAAAAAAATAATAAATTTCGTAAGAATAATTTACGACGATCGTGATGACGATGAGACGCGGTAAATGGTACTTACGCCGGCTCGCCGTTTTGCTCCAGATACATCACGTTCCCACTCAACGTCTCGATCTCCTGCGGCCGTTTCACCACGTGCATCCCGGTCTTCTCCCTCGGCGAGGACACCCCTTTCACCGTGTCCACGCTCACGCCGGTGTCCGTGGATCGGACGCTCTCGATCGAATCGACCGACACTCTCGCCGACGATTTTACAGACGTACCACTCCCGTGATTGTCAGTACGAGCTTTCGCGTTTTCCCCGGCGCTGTTCGCGTTCCTCGAGTCGTTGCTCACCGCACCAGCCACGTTGGACACGTTGTTGCTCGCCCTCGAGGAAGCTATCGTCGATTGATCGGAAGTGCTTTTCACGGGAACGGTCGAGTTCGCGACGACCTTCGTCGTTTCGGGATTATTCGTCGACCTCCGGATCGTTCTCGCGGGATCTTCCTGTTTCACAGACGCACTCGCAACGGAAACAGCTGTCCTTTGAGCATCCGTGCTCGATGGATTTCGCGTGGGATCACTCGCCGGTTCCAGTGATCCCTCGTTCGTTTTCGTCGAACTCGACTGGACGTTCGTCGACGCCGGTTGAACGGAGCCAGTTTCCTCGATTTTCTGACCGTTGGGCCGGCAGTTTTTCGCGTTCTGATCGTTGATCGCATTCTGGACGATCCTGTTGGAACGTTGCGTCGCTGAGCCGGTATTATTCGCAGTGTTACTCACCTTGCCTACGCTTTTTATCGACTGACTGATGCTGTTACTCTTCGAGTGACTGCTGACGTTCTCGCTAGGGACCGGAGAATCGTTTCTGCTCTCCGTCCCACCGACCTTCGTTCGTCCGCCGTTCGAGATCGGTTTACTAGACTTGGAGATCAGAGGGTTCGCCTGACGATGATCCTCGTTGCGGACCATTTGAAAACTTTGCGCTTGCTTAGCAGCCGTGTCGTCGCTCGGCGCATTGGAGGATTTCGAGTTCGAAAGATCTTGCTGGCTCTTCGTCTTCTCGAGCTGACCCCGCCTGTCGGACACCTCTGCGTCCAGAAGAACCGACGCGTTGGCGTCGATGTGAAGCGGCTGAACAGCCGTCGTCGCTGTCGTATTCACCACGCTGGACGTCCCCGTGGCAGCGGAAGTTTGCTTCAAGAGATCGATGAGATGCAGATCGGCTGCCGAACTCCTCTCGGTGTTCGAACCCTTGTCGCTGACTTGAGAACCTTTCGACGTTCCCGAGTCAGACTGCTTGCTACCTTGGCTTGACTCGATCGTCTGTTCGTTCGAGCTCGCGCGTGTCTCCTTCGACCCTTTATCCCCGGTTTTTTTACTTCTCCCGCTGGCTTGGTTGTTGGAGATGTTGATGAACCTGGCTGGATTCAAAGCGTTCGAGCTGACTCTGTTCGTTTTCAGCGGGATCTTTGACGGTGAGGTTACGCGTTCCTTGCTCTGCGTTTTCCCCGCGGCGGTGGCTCTCTCCTGGCTCTGCTTCTTCGAGGTCCAGGTGTTCTTCGACGGAGACGCGGCGGATTTCTGTTGCTTCGCCGTTTCCTTCGAACGATCCCTCTTCGCGAACTGCGACGTTCGCTCCGGCTTGGTCGGTGTTCCCTGAATCGGCGAGAGCTTGCTGGGCGTTCTCGAGGCCTGTCGACGAGCGGCGAGGTTCGTCGCGCTGCTGCTGTTCCCGGAGGCGTTCAAACGATTCCTGGAATCCGTCGTGTGCAAACGAGACCGCGAGTCCGCGCGATGACCGAGCCTCGGCGAGGAAAGACGCTCCGTCGATTTGGTCAGTGACGTCGAGCGTTGACGCGTCGGCTGCGGGATCAAGCTTTTCCTCGGACTGTTCTGCTGCGACACCGACACTGCAAAGATTGCGACAACGATCGATTAGAGTTCCCTGGCTTGGTGACTCGACGATCTTGGATCGCTGCAATCTAAATATGTTCCTCGATGCTCCACTCAGTGGAGCCATCTTGAGATTGAGATTTTATCGAGTAAAAAGTAATTTTGTATTCTGCCGATAGACGGCTTTAGGATTATGTAATTCTGGTATTAATGGGATTTGCGTCCGTTTGAAAGACGATCGTATCATAGAGTAATTAAAAGAAAAAAGTTGCGATAATTGGTTAAAAATTATTGAAAATATGAGTGAAACTAAAAAAGAAAATCGACAGCAGGGCT